CAATGGTAATTTTGTTTTTGTAAAGGCTAGTTTATTTATTTAATAAAATAAAAGTTCACTTTATATACATGTTTGAGCTATATTATTTTTGTCCAATGTATAAACCTGTTATAATTTTTGTATCGATTACCTTACTAAGAAGTCTATGACAAATTAATCGAATCCCATTATAAAATTCTTTTGATGGGTCTAAGTTTCATAAAAACATAATAGGTATTCCTATTTTTAACTTTAATTCATCAGGAGGGAGATCACAAATCTTTAGGAATCTTAAAAATTCAGGAGAATACAATTGGGACTGTTCCACATTACTATTTTCTAAACTTACAAAGTCTACACTATAATATGTGTAAACTTCACCTGGAAGCTAGTTCATAATCAGGTCAGAGATTTTTTCAACTTCGTCGTTCTTTGGAGTTAAAATGGCTTTGCCAATCATATAGTTCATATTGCCAGAATTTTCAACTAAGTTTGGATAAACAAAATCGATAAGATCTGACAATTGCCCTCTAAGTATTACTATGTTTGAAGGAAGTTCTATTTTGTTTTTTGTGTTTGGGATAATTGGATACTTTCTGTCTCCAATTTGTAAGAGAAATTCAGCAAAATTTCTTTGTCTTCAATTCTCATCAGTATCATTAGTCTGACAAAGTCTCATGTTAATTATCAATTTGATTACTCTTAGGTATTTCTATAAAAATGATTAGCTCAAGCTTGCTAAGACAATATCAGTGCAAGACGTATATGATATAACAGGCAGAACTTGGCAAAAATCTCTACCAAAGACAAAAACCTTCCCACCAAATGGCTTATCTATTTTGTTAATGTCATGAAATATCCAGTCGAGTGCTTCAAATGCAAACTTATGGATCATTGGGGCTTCATCCCAAATAAAAAGTTTTGCAGTGTTAATTAAACGGGCCTTTTTGCTTCTTCATGAGATATTGCACATTGAAGACTCATTTAGTTTTAGTGGAATTTTAAATCGACTATGTGCAGTTCGACCACCCCTCATCAAAAGTGCGGCAATTCCAGAAGATGCCACTGCTAAAGCAATTTCTCCATGTGATCTAATGCTTGCAAATAAGGTATTGTATAAGAATGTCTTTCCAGTACCACCTGGACCATCTATAAAGAAATATCCACCATTATGTTCAATTGCCTGCATAACGGCATCATATATTTCACGTTGGTCTTTATTTAATGAAGAGATACTTCTACATAATTCGTCTTTTAGTTGTATAGTATTATACGATTTTTTTTCTCGGATTAATTGATCTAAATCTTCATTAACATTTAGCGTCCCTTCCGGAGGAATTGGCATATTCGGAAAATCTTTTAGCGATTTTCTGTTTAGTAACAGGTAGTCTTCTAATTGATTTAATGCTTTATATTCAATGGTATCAATTATATTATTATGTTGGTTTTGCATTAATTTATAATTCCGATATAAAATGTCTTCACATAATGCTGTTTTATGATTACTCCATAGTACTTCAGGTCTCATCGGCTGACAAAAAAGAAGAATCATTGCAAAAAGATGTCGTAGTTGTTGTCCTGTTTGTATCTTACTTGCCTTATGCAAACATGCATCCCATTCATCATCATCCTAAAGAAGACCTATACAAATGCAAGCTTCTTTGAAGCTTTTACACACATGTTTATTAATTTTTTTTAGATCATCAAAGCTTGTTGCACCTTTGACATGGATAAGTAACATTCTTAGATAGTATCTTTCACCTTCTAATGGTTGTACCATATAAAGCCTTCCGATTATAGTTGTCGCAGTTTTTCTGGGTTTTCACTTATGAAGAGACTTATCCCAAGTATAGTGAAGAGGAAAGTCGATATATTTATATGTATGTGCTATAGGATTAACTGTGTTCTCTAGGAACCAAGTGGTTAAGGTCGTCCTATATATATTACTGCGTTCTATAATATTTTACAGATTCTCTCCATCTCGAAAGATAATATATTGCTGTTCCGGGAGATAGACTGCTAGTCTCTGTACTTTTGGAAAACGATCATGCATCCTATAATGAAAAATTCTCCAAATACTTTCGGAAGCCGAGACATACCTTGCATCCAGGTACATTTTTATTTCATCAATTAATTCGGCTTCTGTTAATGTCTGCTGAGTATCGTTACTGACAGATTGAGAAAGAATAACGGTTGCCCGATCGTGACCTTTGTAGATATATTTGTATAGGTATTTAACTGTTGATATAGAACTACAAATTTCAACATTAATATGCACATTATATTTTGTTACTAACTTAATATTATGTGGTATAACCCATCTGTTATCTAACTGAATTCCATCTTTAAATTCAATGGAATGGTCAGTATTCCGCCTGCGATAAATAGGATATCCATTGTCACCGTCTTGTGTGTTCTCCTGAAAATCCTTAGGATAGCGTTTTTTGTACATGCCATCTTTCATACATGGTACGGTTGGATTCATTATACCGCATGGACCATGTATCATCATGGTTAATACTGTCTCAAAAGCAAGAGGATGCATCACGGGATCCAGAATCTCAGCGGAAACAATAGAATCGTAATCTTCCGTGGATCGTAATTTATCATCTGGTGCCAATATTAACAGGATGTGTGCATGAGGTAGACCACGTTTCTGAAACTCTATCACGTATATATATGCAATAACTTTATCAAGCAATTGATTATGAATTAAGTCTTTCAATAGCTCTCGTAATTTTATATGAAACACGCGAGTTGTTAAATCAGGTCTATCAGAAGCGCTTTGATAAGAAAATAATTCTCTGGTAACTTCTGGCCACTTGGGATTACATGTGAAAGTCACAAAAAGATCAGGCTTTCTGAAGTGACCTACGATAGCCATCGCATCCTGATACAACTGATACATTTGGCGTGGCCCACCACTAAATGAGGATAGAAGAATTATATGACGACCAATTTTGTTGTTACCACTTTCATTATATATTGCATCCATAAGGCCTTGATATAATTCAGTTCGAAGTGATTATTGGTTGTGTTTAAGGTAATTCAGACGATTCTGCTCTATCTTAGCATACTGATCAACAATGTACTGTTGATATAAACGGCCTGCACTTTGTAACCAACTGCTATTTCTAATCTGTAGTCTGTAAGAATAAAACTGCATTGCCATTACTCTCTCTCTTTTTTTAGCCTCCTTAAGAGGTATATCTATATGCCAACCATTATCGCCACCCGGAAATAATAGTACATAATGAAGTGGATCGTAAGATGGACAAAGTTCTGATATTCTCTGTAGACCGCCACCACATGACCTAAGAAGAATGTCTCGATTAGATAAATCTACTTTATGACCATCACTAATCATAATTGCTGCTACTTCAGAGGCATTAGGAGTATTATACCGACGGGGATCCCGTGTTCGATCACCGTGAATCAACATTGTAATTTCATTCGTTACATTTTCCTGGATGAGGTCCCTCACCTGACGAAATTTTTGGATATATGGATTACATTCATCTAGCATGTCCTGTAAGTTCTTTAGAATAACCTTATTTAACCCCTGCACAATATTACATCGGTTTTCATTTTCATGCACAGTGTCATAGATATATAATTGGGCAAACGTTGAAGAGCATCCTTCTTTGGACAGTAACGGTCCAACACTATGATAAACTTGGCCATGAATCCGGAAATTAGACACACCACGTTCCTGAAACTCATTAATTATATTAGCTCCAAACGACATACATGCTAAGATATTATTATAGCTTCTGATGTTCTTGTGAAATGAATTTCCATCAGATCCAACTGAAGTATAGAGGTCCAGTAAATATGGTGGCGGCTCAGATAAGGATGGTAAGTGAACCTTTCCATGGGCACAACAAATCGAAAATTTTGAAGATTTTTTGCTACTACTCTGATTTTTTTCTTCTATCCAAAACTTGGCGTCACAATGAATACATGTCTGATCTATCCTTTCCAGTTTATAACATTCTTGATTAACCTGAATCTTAGCATCAATTTCCGATATAATATTATTATTAATGGCGTTAGTTATAATGATAGCAACATCCGATTCCGGTTTGTAATCTAGGTGTTTAATGGATTCGATAGATTCGATGCTTCCCTTATATGCGATTGCTTCTATGTTATTAATTTTTCGCTTTTTTATATAATGCTTCTGTCTTTCCTTAGCAAGCAGCCTCTTTCGATATTGTTCAGAAGTTTTGCCAGGTTTTTGTCTATGTGTTATCAGATTTTTGAACGACTATTTGATTATATCTAGAAATATCGCGTAAGATGTTTGGAAGCGGTTTTCGTCACGCGAGTTTAATATCATATGCATCATCGTGATCCTTATCACAAATGATTGAACAAAATATACAATGGAACGGTGGCATAGAATGCCTTGGAAACAGTTTCGTAATGCGAATTCAATATCATATATATTAGTGCAATTATTATTACAAATGATTAGACGAACACCCAAATAGAACGATAGTAGAAATCAAGTATAATGGTATATATGAAAATTTTAGTTAATTGGGTTCCTGTTGTCCCGCTTGATTATTCAGTCGTTTTAGTGATGATCTACATGATATTTAGAGATCAATTTTTAATTCTATGTAGCTATTTATTTATCAATATTAGGATGGATTACATCGGTTTTCAACTTTTACTTGGTAAGTTTATTAAGGATTTTTTTTTATTCGAATAAAGGTATCTACGGTATTTTATATAAGAGAGTAGTACTGATCTATTACCAGTTTATAAATCTATATAAAGGAGCGGTTTCTTTTTCCGCATACTATAGAAACTATATGATTCATATTATAATGATTATTTTTTTAAACCCTCAAATATTTCTTCAACTCCGCCTCTCGTTCAGTAAGTGCCTAATATATGTGAATTTAATTAATTATTAATTAATTAATATATATAAATATATACTAATTTAAATCTTTAAGTGAGTTATCACTACTTCTATCTATCATTTGGTAAGCTTCTTACGCAAATCTATTAATCTTAATTGGTTCGAATTAATTAAGTATTAATTAATAAATTTTAATTTATATTTAACCGTAAGTGATTTTCTATGATTAAAGTTAATAATCATAATTATAGTAATCGTTATAAACTCCTTACATCGTAAATAATTCAAATAAAAAAAATTTTTTAGTCTATCTATCAAGTATAGTTTCTGAAGGCGTCTTGGATTATATATTAGTTTTTAGGAATCGCATGTCGCGTGTTGATTTAGGATAGGTGGTGGGTTGGTTGCCCAACAGATTCAATCCTAAGGGATCCAGAGAATATAATTATAAGATCTCGTGAAATAGACTTAGACTGAAAAATTAGAAAAAATTACCCATTATATTTTGTTCTGTAAGATCCCGTTGTGATCCGGAGAATTATTATAATTATAAAATTTTGTGAAATCGACTTAGACAGAAAATTAGAGAAAAATTACCCATTAGATTTTGTTCCGTCGTGTATGGTTCTTAAATATGTTTTTAGTCATATTTGTAGTTTTAGGATCGCATGTATCGCATGTTCAAGAAAGCAATTCTATCATAACGGAGATTATTAATATTTAGGTAAATAGGTGACATGCAAGAAAGCAATTTAATCGTTCTGTTAGAGTGAAATTAACCATAAGAAGATTATTAATATTCGAGTAGACTTGTCTTTATTTTTCTTCCAACAGAAGAGTTGTGTGGATAAAGGTAAAAAAAAACATGTATAAATAGAGGGAAAAACAAAATGTAATATAAGTGTTTGTAATATAAAGAAATATTTACCTTCTTTTCTTTTTCTAATCTAACCTCGGTCAAATATATCTCCATGCCTCTTGCAAGATAAAATTCCAGAAACGTTACGCGAGAATCTGCCTGTTAGATACAGACTTGTTAAAGTTGTGTAAAACTACATGTATTTACAAACAACGCGTTGTAATTATATATATAATGATGATGATACAATTGATTATTTATATTGAGTATTCTAAACGTCAGCGTTACACACGAAAAGTTTTATTATATAGTATTAATATATTATTTTATGATATTATTTCACACTTTATAATAACAAAGAATTAAAATATATGAACGCTTAAAGCAAATAACAAATGCAAGGTCGGTTTTGCTAGTATTAAAAAAAAATCAATTAATTTATATCAAATAATATAAAAATTAAGTATAAAAATGAAATCAATATGGTATTGATTTTAACAAAAAGAAAGAAATATGCTTAAACTTGTAATAATCACATGTCTTGATTACATGACGAAAGAAAACTGTTTATGACATATTATTTAATGGCATATAAAAGTCATTGATACTATTTTATTTTGATCGTACATGCTGTATAAGCTTTCGTGACTAGTAAAGTCAACAGCACATCTTGTTAAAGACTGCATTGGTTATCAGTTAATTTTAAAAAAATTCGATTCGATTAATGTGACCACAACACGCTAATAGAAATATAAAAATAATTAATTTCAATTTTTCTAGTTTATTTATTTTTACATACACAAAGATATTAAAATAAGCCGTAATACATATAATAGTAAGTGAAATATAATTTATATTATCTAATGAAAAACTAATAAAATTCTAAAACCTTTTCTTACATAAATCGCACGTTTGAATCACTTAAAATATCCACTGATCACCTTCATCAATGGCTTGCTCTCCTGCCTCAATTTGCAGTAATTTCTTTCGTTCTTCTATAATAATGTCCGCGTAATTATCATTTTTTTGCCCCCCTTTACACTCTGATGGTGGCGTCAGAAGAATTTTTGCCCGAATGCACATTAGCTTATCAAGAATTTCCGGTAAACCGGTATCTGTCAATTTTTTCCACTTGACAATATCACCCCAGCGATTTTTGATTATGAATGACAAAAAGCTCTCAAAACTAGCCTTCCTCCTCAATATCCTGATCGCCTTATGATGGAAGCTGGTTATATTACGGAAACTGGCCGACATCTCTAAATTACTTTTCAATGGGTAATCGGTGACTAAATAAACGTTCGAAATGTTATATCGAAGTTTCAGGTTGTTTGCCTTGAGAGCGAGTTTTTCAGCACATTTTGGCATGCTTTCTGGATTAATTCGTTCCATTTGCCAGTGGATGGCAATATATGGTGTTAGTTTGGAAACCATATCCGTAACCTCGTTTATTATGAATTCAGAATAATTTATTGAGGTAGGAGTTTCTTGAGGAAATATAACGTGACGTGAACTATATTCAAATAATAATACTTCGATATTAGAAACAGTATCATTGGTTGAAATTTTTATAACTTCTTTTTGGAGATTAGCAGCGTTGCGGCGTTTTCCCTTCAAGATAATAAGATTGGATTCAAGAGCGTTGTAGTTGAGACTAAATTCATTCAAACAATATCGTTCCGCGGAATTTTTACCCTTGTATCGACCATCACTAATAATTATCTTCCTCACTGATGGTTTCAGATATCTTTCATTAGCCCATCGTTTAAACTGCTCCTGGAGCATGAATTTCACGTTGGGATACATTGCCTTTAAACTTTCAATGGAATAGTAATAATCGAACGAGTATTTCTTGCAAGCCCCTATTTGCTTTCTTTCTACATTTGGAAGCACTATAATGCGATCTAGTTTACCGGCAAGTTGAGCGAACATTTGGAAGTGTTGTTGTGCTTCAGCTTCTCGTTCATTGCTGTGATAAATAAACATGAAACGACA